CTCTGGTGTTAATGTCATTTTTTTCTCTTCCTTTAAGCCCCTCTGGCTGTACATTCTGGGGCAAAAAGCCATGGAGTCGTAAAAAGAAGATTCTCTGGCAGCTGGGCACGTTGATCGGCGCTCCTGTAGGCATTTCCCTCATTGCTTCCTGCTATGGTCATTGGCATCCCTGTGTATGTTGGGAGGAAGGTAAGTGTTGGAGCTGAGGGATCTGGGGCTTTCAGGATGTTCTGTGTACTCCAGGCGTCTGACCAGGAATTTAGAGCTGATACAAACGGTGGATCGTAGAACCAAAATTTAGTGTCTCTTCTAAAACTTGTCTTATCTTTTGGGCTTTGTATGGGGAGACAGAAGGTGGTGACTGATAGCTCTTCAGGCTGAAGTCCTCTCAAAGGCGTTTTGCTTTGCTCTCGTGCCTCTGCCGTGAGCCAGGATCTCCCAAGGAGAAACCTGGTCCCTTTTTAACGCGTCCTGTGATGATGGGCTCTATGGGACAGTGGCTGGACCCTGAGCATCACACTTTGGCTTGCATGAGTCACTTGTCTTTTCGATGCTGACCTTCTTCCCCAAACTGTGTGATAAAGAGACGTCGAGGAGGATGAAATGGTGTGTCAGCACTGTGTTTGTAGCTACTGGTTTTTCTTAAACACAGACTCACCTGCTAGATCTGATGTGTGAGGAGATCTGTGGTCAAGATGAGGTTCTTTAAGGGCTAATGCAGCTGACAGGCTGTAAAATCACAAGCTTATTAATGTCTTCTGCTGGTGTTTGCTCATGGCCAGGCTCTGTTCTCACCTGGTGCTTCTCCTGTCAGATCCACAGCAGGTACGAGGGAAAGAAAACCTCTAAGCACAAGAGGAACTTGGCCATTACGGGTGGGGTCACCTTGTCTGTCATTGCCTCTCCAGTCATCGCTGCTGTCAGTGTTGGTAAGTGGGCACAGTCCCTTTCCCTTCTGGTGGGCCGGTAGTCACTGAGACAAGGGGGGAGATGGGGGTGGCCAAGGGGTAGTTGACAGACTGCTGCTGTGTGCTTTTCTGGGCACGTTCCTCTGTTTCATATCCAGGCTGCACGTCCTCCTGTGCTTGGGCTGGCCTGGAGCCAGCACAGGGCTTGTCTGTTCAACAGCCCATAGTGGGGTCTCTTGATGCAGGGAGCTGGCTCTTACCCATGGACTTGGTTTGGTGGCTGATGTCTTGGGGGTTCAGCTGAGGCTGGCTGTGCTCTTGGGGTTCCCTCATTCTGCACAGCAGCAGCACAAACAAAGGGCTCCTCCACTGTCTATCTGCAAAGTTGTGGACTTCAAAAGCAGCGTAAATACAACTGAAAGAGTCCCTGCCCCAAAGAGTCCTTTCTGTCTGCCCAACACAGCTCAGCCCTAAGCTCCTCTTAACTCAGCGCATCCTTCTCTCCAGGTATCGGAGTTCCCATCATGCTGGCGTACGTCTACGGTGTTGTGCCGATCTCGCTGTGCCGAGGCGGTGGCTGTGGAGTCAGCACCGCCAATGGAAAGGGTGTGAAAATCGAGTTTGATGAAGATGATGGACCAATAACAGGTAACGTGATAACTGGTGAAGGGAAGGGGGTGAGGCAAGACCGTCGTTGCCTCTTGTAGTGAAGTGGGAGGGGGCCTTAAAACTTCCCAAATCTGGATACCTCTCTTTAACTGGGTTTGGCTCGAAGCAGTTACTTGGTTCCGTCTTCTGCTGGTGACCAGCTATGTAGCTCTCAAAGCAAAATCTCGGCTCTTCCTTGCCCTGGACGAGGCAGGAAGGCAGTCAGAGACAAGACACATGCTGCCTGACCCTCGGCTCTGCCAGCACCATCGCAGCTGGACAACTCTCTTGCTGATTCCAATTCCTGTGCTGTTCTTCCCTGCAGTGGCTGATGCCTGGCGAGCTCTGAAGAACCCCAGCATTGGTGAAAGCAGCATTGAGGGCTTGACCAGTGTGCTGAGCACCAGTGGCAGCCCCACCGATGGGCTCAGCGTGATGCAGGGCAACTACAGCGAGACGGCCAGCTTCGCTGCCCTCTCGGGCGGGACCCTGAGCGGTGGTGTCCTCTCGGGGGGCAAGGGGAAGTACAGCAGGTAACTGACCTGGTGGGCACAGCAAGAAAGGGAGAGAGGCTGCCAAGGCCTGTGTTGGTTGGGCAGGCTTGTTTTGGGGAGCTCCCCAGGACTGTGTGCAGTCCTTCTTTGACTTGGGAGTCATGTCCTAGTATTTTTACTTCTTGGTCTGTTGTAGAATAACCAGTCCCAGCAGACCAGGCTACTTCTGGAGTCAGTGCTAGGCTGGTTCTTGCAAGGAGGACAAGAGATAAAGAAGTTTCTGTCCCTACTGAGCTCCTTGAAACTGCAGAGCTGATGCTTCAGGTTAATTGGGAGCAGTGCAGCAGTGCCTATGTGGCCTGTTTAGAGATCTTCCAGTCCCCTTATCCCAGCCTACAGGTTTTGATACTTCATGTTCTCCAGTGGCCTATAGCAAGGAAGGTCACTGCTTTCCAAGTCAGGAGCTTACACCACAGTTGTGCTCTAAACTTGCCTGTGAGTCACTTTGGATAATTAGAGACACGTGTTGATATGGCAGCCAGGATATAATCATGGCTGCGTGCTACATCTGTGGAAATCTGTTCTTCGCAGGAATTGCGTGAGTCACAGATACAAACACAACTTTACCTTCGTCACGGAAAACAGAATGGGTTTACCTAAACGAAGCCAAAAATGAGACTAAATGAGAGGAACCATTGGGGTTAAACTCTGTCATGCTGAGCTGCGCCAGCCTCTTGCTTTCCCATGACGAGCAGTGACTGGTTGGTGCCCCTTGGGGACCATCTAAGCCATTTCTGAGGAATCCTTCTCTTTTCTGCAGGCTGGAAGTTCAGGCAGATGTCCAGAAGGAGATTTTCCCCAAAGACTCGGTCAGCTTGGGGGCTATCAGTGACAACGCCAGCACTCGAGCCATGGCTGGTTCCATCATCAGCTCCTACAACCCCCAGGACAGGTAGGAGGACGTGCAATGGTGAGAAGAATGTTGGTAGTGGGTGTCCTGGAAAAATCTGTACTCTGTGGGGTGATGCTGTGGGTGGTGAGATGACCATAGTTATACCAGCTGGCAAGTGGATTGATCCTTTCACTAGCACAGGAGGACTGGGGACAATTTGGGAGCTGCCTCCATGTGCAGTGTGGAGACTGAGGGGGGGACCTGCAGCCCAGGACCCTCAAGGTCTGTTTCTGGCAGCTCACAGGGACTCTGGAGCATTCCCAGTTCAGTTCCTGGCTCACAGCCTGGGGATGATCTCGGCGGCTGCTAGGAGGGCTCCAGGAGAGCAGTGAGTGCTGTTGTTTCCCCAATGCCGTGGGATGATGAGCAGCATCTTACATTTAGGAAGTGTGATCCTCCTGGTACTGTGGTGCAGTGCCCAGTGGTGACCCAGTTGAACCCAGTAACACAAGGGTGCTTGTTTCTGCAGGGAGTGCAATAACATGGAGATCCAGGTGGACATCGAAGCCAAACCAAGTCACTACCAGCTGGCCAGCGGCAGCAGTACAGAGGACTCGCTGCATGTCCACACGCAAATGGCAGAGAATGAGGAGGAGGAGGAGGAAGAGGATGGTGAGCAGGAGCCGATGTGCAAACACCAAAGCTGTGAGCAAAAGGACTGCATTGCCAGCAAAACCTGGGACATCACCTTGGCCCAGCCTGAGAGCATACGGAGCGACCTGGAGAGTTCCGACAGTCAGTCGGACGACGTGCCAGACATTACCTCGGACGAGTGCGATTCTCCCCGCTCGCAGACTGCCCCAGCCTGCCCACAGACCCCCAAAGCCAGAGGTGCTGAGAGCCCAAGTGCCCCCCTGAGCCACTGTGCCCGAGCCGAGGGCTGCAGGCTGGATGAAATAGTCAAACTGGAGTGCATCGAAGCACGAG